CAAGTCAGATGGTTGTTGATCATCCTGGTCCTGTAAAAATTTGACCATTGCCCATGTAGCATCTCTTCCCATATGGAAAGACTCATGAAAGCTTTTTTTGTTTGTTTGTTTGCTTGGTTTTTTTTGAGGCAGAATTTCACTATGCAGGTCGGGCTGGCCTTGAACTCACTTTGCAGCCCAGGCTGGCCTCAAACTCACAGCAGTCCTTCTGCCTCAGTGTCGCAAGTGTTGGGGTTGCCTGCAGGTGTGCCCACCACATCTGGCATGTGAAGAGGTTTTTTTTTTTTTTTTTTTTTTTATAACCTTCCACTGTGTCCCTCTAGGAAGGACTAGTTTGTTCTCTAAATACAGTAACCTTTTGTCCCAAGGCCCAGAGAACTTCCCAGGGAGTATAAACTAGTTTTAATGATCCCTCAGGAACCAGGACTAAGGCTAGGGTCTTGCAGGGTGATAAGGCTGCCGTTTTTGCTTTCTTATCAGCCTTTTGATTTCCCAAAGAGACTTTAGACATGTCTTTTTGGTGTCCTTTACAATGTATAACAGCAACCTGCTTGGGAAGACAGGATGCCTCCAGGAGTTGTAGAATGTCCTGTTTATGTTTTGTAGGTGATACTGCATAGTTAAAAAGCCCCTTTCTTTCCAGATTGCTGCGTATGCATTAGTACTAGAAATGTATATTTGGAGTTTGTATAAATACTTAGTTTTTTTGCCTTTTCCTAACATCAGTGCCAAATAGGAGCTACATGCTGTACCATTTGAGCAGAAGTTCTGGCCCTGTGATGTGTTGTGAGCTGATAACTGCGTAGCCTGTCATTTGATGTCCTCCTTGGACAACCATACCTCCTCAAGGCCTTAGAAGGACAGGTCACTAATACCTGCCTGTTTCTCTGTCTGGAAGATCATTTGTTCTTAACGGGTAGCTGACTTCTTGGCCTACAGGCATCAAAGAGACAGGATTTAGTGTAGGTTTTTATAATAACCTCAGGAGCATCTAAGAGCATATCCTGATGCTTGGTAAGCTCTTCCCTTATGGAGCACAAGTAACCCTTTGCCTCAAGAATAGCCCTAACCTGATGGGGAGTCAGAAATTCTAATCTGTATCCCAAAGGTAGTCTCATAGCTTCTTTTGTTAGCATAGCTGTAGCTTCAACTGCCCTCAAGTAGCATGACTATCCAGTAGCCATTCTAACTTTTTTGAACAGTATGCTGACTCAAACCCTGGGGGTGGGGAAACCCTTCTCTGCTATAGATTAGAGAGAGATAGAAACAAAACAAAACAAACAAACAAACCAAAAACTCCTGATTTAGACTCTTGGCTGGCTATGTTAAATATATTACCAGGTTTTGGGGTGCTAGAGTCTCTTTCTAGATGTAATGTCTAGGTTCTTTCTATCCCAGGCAAAGAATTGGTCAAGACAAAAACAGATGGTAATAAGATCTCACACTTATTAAAGGTAGGCAAAAACAGGCCGTGCACAGTATGTCTGTGCCAAGTAAAAGTAGGAGGAAGAAAACTGTTAAAGTGTGTCCCAGAACATGAGGGTGGGCTCTCAGAATGGAAGCAATAGTGAGTATTCGGTGGTGGCTGTTCTTTTTGTGTTTCCCACACTGGCCTTACATCCAGGTTATCCTATTGGAAAACTGCCAGAGTTCTTGAGAGAAGTCAGCATGCAGGGCATTGAGAACTGTTCTGTGCACGTGTCTGGGGATTTTTGTAATGGGGATTTTGCTTCCCCAGCTGGTCTGTCACATTCCCCTGGGATTTTTGGTTTAACAGCCCACTTTCCCAGCTAGTTTTGGCCAGGCTCTAGCCACCTGTCTCACTATGAACGCAGGACCGGGTCACATAGGTTTTCAACTGGGAGAATGGAGATGTTATGTGGAGACTGGCAGGATCCAGTAAGTCGTGTGGTAAGAAACTTTTCAAGAATGGGCTTCATCTCTCATCCAGCCTCCTCCTCTTTGTTTTTGATTGAGGGCCTTTGCCCATCTGTGACAGGAAGTTCATATTGGGGAGCACCCTTTCCCTTGATTCTCAGACGACTTCAGGGAGTATTTTTGTCAGGAGGGGCAACTTCAGGTTAGTGTTGAATTAAACTAGAGAAAAGGATTAGGGTTGAACATTTAATTTACAGAGGAGATCTCACCCCAAAAAAGGAATCGGGCACCCTGGCATATCCAAGAAACTGTTAGGATGCTATGCTAAAGGCAGCATTCCAAAGCTTACAAGAGGGGGCAGGCCCACCTTTTGCCTGGGGAAGTGGTCTGTGAATGTCTTATGCCAGCTTAGGACTGAATAGCTAGCACCCAAGTCCACCCAAAAGTCAGTTACAAATTACAGTGGACCCTTGAGTTATGACTGGCCTGACATACATGTAATTTGGGTTATGACTAGAATTTTATATATTTTAAATTCATTTGTTTCTGATAAGGCAGTGTTTAGTCTTTACACCAGTGGACTGTTGTGAGATTGCTCCTTAAAGACCACAGCCTTGAGTTTACAGAGAGCTTAGTTTATATGGAATTTAGAAGTGAAAGGTACAAAGCAAGTGACAAAATGGTACATAATTATTTACGTGCATTGAATCATGTAGGGACAGGCAGGCTAGTCTTGAACAGATTTGTTGAAACAAAGGAATTGTTAATTATAATATAGAAATGTTCTAGGAACAAGGGCAGGGGCCCTCACAGCATGAGCATAGTTAAAGGTGTCCTTGACTTGCCCTGTCAGTGTAGAGACAGTTACTGGAATCCCAAATTGTGTGTGTAGTCATCCAAGTATTATAACCCCTTTTCCAGTCTTCCTCACAATCCAAAAAGTTGTATTTATAATCCCATTGAGATGTTATTGGAATCCCAGCAAATTAATTCCAATCTACCACCTCCAATGCAACCCATGGTGAGAGTGAAGACATCAAGACATGTTCCAAGTGAAGGGCAGCCGAGGGGTCCTAAGTCCAGTCCCCATGAGAATGTGTGGACAGAGGCCCTGACCCAAGGCCTCTCCCAGAATTACCGTGTGAAGAAGGGAGTGGCTCCAGGATGAGTGACAGTGAGGAACTAGGGAGTAACTTGAGCTGGCTGACCAGGCAGAGAAAAGCATCTTGGCAAAATGCAAGTATAACGATATGCCTGCGAAGTATCAATCTGCATAATTCAGTTAAGGTAGCAACTGAATTGTTTTTGGAGGCTGTTGCTTCAGTTTCTAATATGCAAACTTTCATGCCCTGGGGACTCAACCTCTTTACCTTGAGGCTCATACCCAGTTGACATTCCTGGAGCTGATTGCTCTACCATCCCGCTGTGCCCATATCTATTACAGAGAGCACTACTCTAGGAAACAGACTGTCTGATGGCTTTAGAGATTGCACACCAGTACCTCGGCTGGCCTTATTTGCAATGCTTACAGCCAATTGAAGAGAGAAGGAAATACACTTGTCAGCTCTGTACATAGCAGCATAAGGAAATAAGTCTCCATATAGTCAAAGCTGCAGCAATTGTTCTGCATTCAAGGGGAGTCACCCAAGTTGTCCCCCACCTTCTCAGAGGTGGGCTGGGCTAGACGCTGTATGACCAGAATTTGAGTGTTAACTTATGACAGAAGTCTTGAGTTTTGACTAGAATGCCAGCTACTTATGCTTCCAGATGGTCTCAAGATACAGATTTAACCCCTACAGAGTTCTGGAAGGAACATTACCACATCCTTTCCTGTGTGGGGTTGAGAAATCCTGGGCTAGTGTCTAAGGACACTGAGATTGGCCTGTGCTCAGAGAGAGGAGCCTTCCGTTGACAGCTGAATTACAGCCAGTCCTCAGGAATAAATTAAATTCATTAGTGAATGGGTCACTGTACTTAGTTCTCCACTAACAATGTAACAGATGTAAGGGGGTCCCTGAGACCCTTCCTGTTAGCCTCCCTCTCCACCATCTTTAGCCCCCAATCTTTCCTTTTTCTTCTGCTTGTCCCTGTAGCTACTCGGGGGTAGCTTTTAGAACCACTGCATCTAACTTAATCACACACAAATTCCATGGATACATTATAACTTTGAGTGACTTGCTCAGACCCTTTAGTTTTATCTTTTCCCCCCATTTTAGAATAAATCAGTCATTCTAGTATTGGGGAAAATATTTTATTGCACAAAAATCTCTATCCAAAACAATTCTCATTGTAACCTTCCTCAGCAAAAATATATCTTCATACTTAAAACTTTCTTTATATCTTTAAAATCAACATTTTGAAAAAATCCTTACAAAATCTGCATTTAGAGAAAATCACATTTTTTTTCTCAGTAGCATGTTCTGTGTGTGTTTTGTTGTGCAAGCTTTTCAAGAGCAAGTTGCTAGAGCAAAGAAAGATTTGGTGAACCAGCATGGCTAAGAGTGGTGGAACAAAAGACTATAGTAACACAAGTTGTGAGCTCCTTATCTTTAGGAGAAAAGGACTAAGAGACCTGGGAGCTGAAATCTGTTGATTTGCGCTGCTCATTTAAATGAGGGATGAGGGCCATGGGAACAGGGAGACCAGGCCCTTTCCAGTGCAGCAGGAAGCCCAACTGACACAGGGGAATGAAACTCCCAGAATGAGTTCATGTTTTCTAAGATCGAAGAATGAATTTTAGGGACAGCAGAGGTTAAGAGCAAAATATATTTATTGAGAGAAAGAAAAGAAAGCTTTTGTCTGAGAGAGAGACAGAAGGGATCCGGAGCAGGTTGCCAGGGACTCTCTTTTCTAGGGACTTTTACAGAGTAAAGTCATGGAGTGATATGGGCTCAAGGTGAGGAAAACTGGGAACTCACAAGGCAGGTGGGCCTAAGGTTGGGCAGAACTATGGTTAGCCAAAAAGATTAATAGTTCAGGTAAAATTGATTATATTGGTGACAAATGGGGAAGCGAGTCACATAGAAAGCTGGACTCTTCCCAGGGAGTTGGGATGGTGACTCCTGGCTTCCTCAGAGTGATAGGAAGCCATTTAGAATATTGATCCTTAGGATATGGATGCATTTGCTTGATTTTTGTCTTGAGGCCTGGCCCACAGCAGGAGGTGTCTGTCTCCCCCATAACTGCAAGGTATCTGGGCTTCTGCTCTGGCTCCTTTGAGGATTCAGCCCTGTCTCACTGCCTATGGTATTTCTAACGCAGCTGCCTGTAACACAGTGACTGCATAACTGTCTGTATAATCAGGTGAGCTTGCAAGCGCTGTTGTGAGTCAGCATCATTGTTACTGAAGATTGCAGTCTTGTTACCTTTAGGCCATTTCTGCATGTTGTTTCAGTGGTTCTGCTCAGCATTTGGACAGCAGTTTTTCAGGCACACTGACGCTGGAAAGCTTACAATGAGCAGTGTTGTGCTCTTGTGTATATCAAATATCTGAGCACTTCGTGTGCACTATACAGAGGGTACGGAGGTGAGCAGAGCCGACAGCCGCCACCTTTAAGGGAGAAGAACCCCAAGGTGCAGCCGAGCTGCAGCGTCCTTAGCACACACGGGGCCCTGGGTTCCATCCCCCGCCTACAGGAAAAGAAGAGGATAGCAGAGGGTTTAGAAAGGGAAGGAGAAAAAAAGCCACACTGCTCTTTTGAGGGAAGCTTGACTTCTACCATGACTTTGCTGCAGACAGCGCACATGAGAATGTGCGTGCTTTATAGTTTTTAGCATAGATTTTGAGAAATGTCTTTCCCTTCCATGATGCAACATTTATAATTCACAAAATAAATATCAGCTAAAGAGCACATGTAGAAATCTGTAATGATTGAATTTCCCTGAATGAGCCTTACCCACCTTACTATATTAAGTAAAATAGTAGCAGATTTGGGGAGGTATTTTTGCTATTTTGAAATGTGTTTTGAAGTTATCAGTTGATTGAAAGGTTATCAACTGAAAAGAAAGGCTATTAATGCTCAGTTTTCCAGAGGTACTAAAAAGGCCAATTAGGAAAACAAGAATCTTGAAGGTATTTTGAAATATTGCTTATAGTTACCTGTTTTTTGAGATAAGGTCTCCCTATGCAGTTCAGACTGGTCTTGAATTCACTGCAGTTGAGTGCTGGGAGTGCTGGGACCACCAAACTCAGCTCTTGACTCTTAAGAGCTTGGGAAAGCATACATGGGAAGGAGGTGCTGAGCTCCCTGAAGAGAGGTCTTTTACGCCTGGATTCCAAGAGAACAATTACAGAGCGTCAGTGTTGAGTGAATATTTGCCATTTATGTGTACTCTTGGCAAGCTCAAATCACTGGGTCTGTCTTTGCTTTTCAGCTTTTGGCTGATGCCTGCATTTATGCTCAAGAAAATCGTTCTTGGAAACTTTTCATCTGGCCCAGTGGACCCTCTTATGGCTGATGCCATTGACTTCATGGTGGACAGGGTAAGGATCACAGCGCTGGGTGGGGACACTCATACTGGGAATGTTGACAGCTACTGGGTTCTTGAGGCTGCAGCTGTGTCTGGGTGTCTGCTAGATATCTCTGCCATACTTCAGAGTACTTCAGCACTTCCAAATAGACCCTGCTCTTGCTGCTACTGCTAAGAGCTTTGACAACATTAGTGTTTCTGGCAGTTGTTTATCAAAATCACATAGGAGGAAGCCTTCAGAAATAGATTTCAAGCTGGGTGTGGTGACACAGACCTGTTATCCCAGCACTCTGTGAGGCTGAGGCAGGAGGATCACACGTTGGAGCCGTCTCAAAAAAAAACAACTGGCAATGAAGTTCACTGCAGACCTGGAGTTCAATCCCCTATTCTGCAAAACAGAAACAGATTTCAGGGTGACTAGAGATAGTAATGTACTATACATTTTAAAAAGCTAGGAAGCCAGGTGTGGTGGTGCACACCTGTAATCTCAGTAGTCCGGAGACTGAGGCAGGAGGATTGCCAGTCATTTGAAGCCAGCCTGAACTACGTAGGGAGACCCTGTGTCAACAACAACAAGTTAGAAGAAAGATTTCTAAATTTTTTTACTGTAAACATTACAAAATATGTACATATATACAAACACGTTTTCCCTATTACTATATACAATACGCTTTTATGTATCAGCTAAGTGATTTAGATATAAAAAATGGAACTGCCAGGTAGCAAATGCCTGTAATCCCAGTTACTTGAGAGGCTGAAACAGGAGGACTCCGGGTTGTTTTCATTTTTTTGAGACAGGGTCATACTATAAAGTTCAGGCTGGCCTTAAACTCACTCTTTATCCCAGGCTACTCTCACATTCATGGTGATCTTTCTGCCTCAGCCTCCCAAGTTCTGGCATTATAAGCATGTGCCACTGTGCCCCAGAGCAAGAGGATTCCACAAAGGCCAGCCTGGGCAATTTGTAAGTAAGACAGACCTCATCAGGGGCTAGGGATGTAGCTCAGTGGCATGGCGTCTGCCTGGCAAACCTGAGGTGGTGAGTTTGATTCTTGGTATCAAAAAAAAAAAAAATCAAATCAATCTTATAGGAAAGACCTCATCTCAAGAAACAGATTCCAAAGCCTTGAACCAGACCATCTGGAATCCTTGGGCTCGGGGCCTGGGAATGTGTAGTCTTACGTCACCCCCTCCTCTTCCTCTCAGATACATCTATCTCCTCAGAGCTTATATGTAGGAGCGAGGGGCAGATGACTGCTGAGGTGTCTTCAGATTCTAAGCTCTGAGGAGCATGAATTGGCTGGCTGCCCACAGGCGCCTGGGTTGAAGTGGGCAGGTTAGATTGAGGCTGCAGAAGTAGAAGAGAGCGAGAGCCCAGGTCAGTCTTTCAAATACAGTTTCCTCATCCGTCACTTCTTTGGCCCCACCGTGTTCACTAGCACTTCTACAAACCAAACATTGTCTGTGGCTATAATACAAACATAAAATTATTTTTAAAGTCTTAACCTGTGTTCCTTTTGGCAGCTGGAAAGTCTGGGGCAGAGTGAACTGGCTTCAAGACTGACACTGAATTGTCAGAATTCCTACGTGGAACCTCATAAAATCCGGGACATCCCTGTGACCATTATGGATGTAAGTGTGCTTCCTTTTAAGACCCATAGATGCGCTACCCATCTAAATGCACCTATCAAGATATCATTAGTTTCTGACTTGAAACGTGCTTTTCCAAATGCTATCATAGCTTTTGTTTTTGCCCCTGGCTTTCTCAATTCCAGAGTAATCGGTTTATTGCTTCCCTGAAATATAGTTTGGGCTGAGCGTGCAGCTCAGTGAGAGGAAACTGGCCCAGCATGCACCAGGCCCTGCCAGGCCTCACCCATTGTGGTACCTTTCTGCTTTCTCATCAGTAGATGTTATTCTTCACTGTTACACACTGGGCAGCACAGAGATGCTGCTCCATGACCATCTTTAACAGATTGTAGTGAAATATGATAACCAAGTTTACCAGAGTAACCACTTTGACGTCTGCATGCCAGCGGCATTAGGTACATTCTTGGTGTTGTGCGACCCATCAGTCTACAGCCGTTCAGTTCTCCCCTTCCTCCTGTTCCCCTGGCACCTGGCAATCAGGAATTTCATTTCTGTCTCCATTGATCTGCCCATCCTAGGTGCTTCTTCCGTATTTATCTTGGTGTGTCTGGACCGTCTCTAGTATGTTTAAGGTTCACTGATGCTATCGTGTGTCCATGTCATTCCTGTAAGGCCAACTAGTTCCAATTTTATGTGCCGCCTTTTGTTTATGCATTCATCTGCCAGTGGTCATTTGGGTTGTTTCCAGCTTTTGGCCACAGTGCATGCATCTGTGAACATTAGGATAAAGGTATCCGTATCCTACGACTGGAATTGCTGAATCGCATGGTAACTAACCCTTTAACTTTTTGAGAATTGTGGTATTGACTCCCACAATGGCTCTGCCATTTTCCCTTGCCATCATCAGGGGTTCCAGTTTTCCCATGTCCACACTAGCCCTCCTCACGGGTGGGAAGTGCTATCTCACTGTGGTTTGTACTCCTTTTTTTTTTAATGCCGAGGATCAAACCCAGGGCCTTGAGCCTGGTAAGCAGGTGCTGTACCACTGACTTATGCTTAGTTTGCTTGATAAATTGGTTTAATCTTCAACCCAAGTAATGATTTGTTTTGGTCCGCAAATTATCTGTCACAGGCAAAACTTGAATGCACATTGAAGTATGCCCAGAATTACATAGAATTCGGAAGCATTGGGACTTTTTCACTTTTAAACACATTCTGGAATTTTTTTTTCACTGAGCATACATGACTTACATAATTGTTTTCACTAATAAGTTCTTTTGAGATTCCATGATCTTTTCTGAAGTTGGCATTTTCAATGATTGTTCACTATTAATACTCTATTAAGTAAATATATTCTGAGGAGAAAAAATTCCTAGTAGAATTTCTCCCCAGAAGAACACAGGCTGCCAGATGTGGTGTCACACAGCAGTAATCGGGGCACTCCAGCAGGCGGAGGCAGGACTGCAGGTTTGGGTTCTTTCCCAGTTCCAGGAAAAAAAACAAAATAAGAATGCAAGAGACATTTTGCAGCAAAAAGTTGTAGCTAAGGTCTTAGGAGTCTGAGGAGTAACCAGGGATCAGTGCCGGGTGGTCGCGCAGGCTGCTCCAGGGCTGCATGGGAAAGGAGCTCTCGGGTGGCACTTTCCATATTGTGAAAATGCCAGCTGGTTTCAGCTCTATTGTTTTTTGAAGGTGTTTGATCAGAGCGCACTTTCAACTGAAGCTAAAGAAGAAATGTACAAACTGTACCCTAATGCCCGGAGAGCGCACCTTAAAACAGGGGGCAACTTCCCCTACCTGTGCAGAAGCGCAGAGGTGAATCTTTATGTACAGGTAAGTATCGTTTGTAACAGAAAACTGTTTTTTTTCCCTCTGATGCCTGATTAAGGGATTGGCAGAGTTGTCTGTGGGAGGCGGTGTTAAGTTGACTGGTTTACATTTATAATATATTTTTTTAAAAGGACAGATACAGGGTGCACTCAAGACTGGAGCACAAGTGCTCAGAGAAATGAGGCTCAGTACTGTTGGGAACTGGAGCTCTTTTAGGGGTCCTCGATGGTGGAAATCTGCGGACTTTGGTGATCTATCTGTAGTGTTGGCTAGTGAGTAGGGGAGGATGACCTGCTCATACTGAGATAAAAGAGAATGGGCAGGCCCATTTATTTTTTAGGCTAAAGGGAGTTGCCCAGGTTTGCTATGTTTTGGAAGAGAAAAAAAAAGCTTGTGTCCTGAAGCTGCAGTTTTTCTTAAAAGTACAGTTTTTTTTTTTTGTTTGTTTTTTTTTTTGTTTTTTGTCTTTTTGAGACAGGGTCTCACTATGCAGTTCAGGCTGGCCTTGAGCTCACTTTGTAGCCCAGGCTGGTCTCGAACTCGAAACGATCTCCTGCCTCTGCTTCCCCCAGCAAAAGTACAGTTTTTAAAATCTTCATTTCCTTGTTTCCTATGTGGTTTTTATTTCTTCTGCCTCATTTCTCACCCTGAGACTTTGGAATTTTGTTCACAGCAAAGGTGTGTCAGCTGAGTTGTAAAAAAAAAAACAAAAAACTCCACCTTTTTTTTTTTTTGGTCTTTTTTGAGACAAGGTCTTGCTGTGTAGTTCAGGGTGGCCTAGAGCTCAGTTTGTAGCGCAAGTTGGTCTCTAATATGCAGTGATCCTCCCTGAGTACTGGAATTACAGGTGTGTACCACTGTGCCTGACTCCTCTCCTTTTTTTAGCCAAGTTTTTGATATTATTACCCTCACTATATGTAATTTTGTTTATATTTTCCCTTTGGGTGTTTAAGTCCAAGTCAAAATGAGAGTTATAGGGTGTTGGGTTGCTGGAGTCTCCTCTTCTGATGGTGGCTTCTGGCTTCTTTCTATCTGAGCAAAAAATAAGAGAGTGGGCCTACCTTGTAAGAGAAAATGCAGGCAAAAACTCAGTGTGAATCATCTTTATTACATCATCAGCGCCTTGGGCTGAGGTCAGGTGAGGCGCAGGCCATTCTATCGGAAGCCTGCGCAGGTTCTTGGGAGAAGCCTATGTGCGGGCCTTGGGACCTATGCAGTTCGGGCTTTGGGACCTGTTCTATGCATGTGCTCTGCTATACCCCACTATGCCCTAGTCTCCTGCCTCAGGGCCTATGCTAAGATCAAAGTCAGTGTATCTTTTTCTAAATGTACATGGAGAGCTCAGGCTTCTTGAGTATTACTTTAGGGACCATGGGCATAGCCTTTTAACTCCGTCAGTGTCATCTGCTGGAATGGGTCATCACTAGTGTTGTAGGATCCTTTAGAGAGGTCCCTTTATGTCCTGGGTCCTTGTTGACCTTGAAGGGTGAGGGCCAAAATATTGACTGCACTCTTAGCCCAGTTACTGTTCTTTATGTTTGTTCCCCAAGCCTGAGCTGTTGAACACACAGGAGGTCAGTTACACCAGTACTGGAGTGGGAGCAGCAGGCGTAACTGCCATAGTCGTATCAGGGCATCACACCCTTGGAAACGAACAGAATAGCCAGAGAAATGCTATTTTTTTTTTACCAATCATGATTAATTTAGGAACCAAATTCCTATGGAAAATTAACGGACAACAGCTAAAAATTTTTTCTAGGAAAATTTAAAATCAAGTGCAAACACAGCACCTGAGTTTAACAATTACGATATCATTATACTGGTGATATAGGGGAATGAAACTTCCGACCTACTATGTCTGCAAGTTTGTGTTCTTTAAAACCGAAGAATGAATTTTAGGAACAACAGAGGTTAAGAGTAGAATATATTTATTGAGAGCTGCTGTCTGAGAGAGAGAGAGAGAGAGAGAGAGAGAGAGAGAGAGAGAGAGAGAAGGAGACCCGAGTGGGTTGCCCAGGAATCTGTCTTTTCCAGGGACTTTTATAGAGTAAAACCATGGATTTAAGGCTGGAAGGAAGACTGGGAACTCACAAGGCAGATGGGCATAAGGTGGGACATAATTATAGTTAGCCAATAAGATCAATAGTTCAGGTAGAATTGATTACATTAGGGACAAATGGGGAAGCGAGTCACGTAGGAAGCTGGCATTCTTGGAGCTGTGACCTTTCCCCTAGGGGGATGGCATGGTGACTCCAGGGTGATTGGGAACTAATTAGAATATGAGTCCTTAGAATGTGGATGCGTTTATTGGATCCTTTGTCTTGAGGCCTGCCCACAGGGGGAGGTGTCTGTCTCCCCCACAGTTGTAAGGTATCTGCACTGGCTCCTTTGAGTACCTAGCCCTGTCTCACTGCCTATAATATTTTTAGCTAACTTGGCTGCCTGCAACACTGTTTTTCAGTTTTGCATCTTTGAAGGCTTGTGTATACTTGAGAAACGCAAATACATTTAATATACAGTGAGATTAGCAAGAATTAGCATCACAGCTACACAGAAATCTACATATATTTAGTTTTTACTACTGAGTTAAATTTAGATTCCTTTAACAGATTTTAAGGTTTTAACTGCACTGATAATCAAAAACGTCTTTACAGCTCTTATAAATTTAGTAAACCGTGTTAAAACCACAAATAGACTTATTACCCAGTAGGTAAGTGTATCATTTATACAACAACAGAATGCTTAATTAAAGCTAATAGATGTACATCAAGTTTTAAATGGCAGGATCAAATTTAAAGAGATGCCAAAAGTTTGGTTTGGATATATAGTATATAAACGAGAGAACTTACTACTTTGTACTTATTATACCTAACTTCAAAGCTTAGACTCACAGCATGTCTCTAGTCCGAGATACATAGTGAGTTATAAACTAAGATCATAGTTGTTCATTTAATCAAACACTGATTATTGAAACTATAAGTCAATCTTTTTCTCTTAAAGTTCAGAAACCTAAAACCTAACAATACAAAAGACAAGAAACTATCTTTGCTTTTTAATCTAGTTTTGCGAGTGCAACAAAGACCATCTTATTTTTTAAAAATCCTTATTGTTTTAGACAAATAGCTTAAGCCTTTAATTATAGCCAATTTACTTGAAATTTAACTTTTAGTCAACCCAACATATTAACCCTTAGTTAATAAATATATCTTTCATAAAGCCAACAATACTTAAATTTACATTTAACAACCGATGACTTAGATGTCATTAAATATAGAAGCATTTTTTACATTTATTCAGTGTAATGTACTCTTTTTTCTTAATGGTTAATCTTAACCATTTACAGTTAACATTTTAAAGATATATATTTTTTTAAGTTAACTGTCCACAGGCAGTGATCAACGTTGTGTAAAATAAAAAACTGACAACCCAGTGATACAGAACCCCTTTCCTACCTTGTAAAACACATCAACCCAGTGATACAGAACCCCTTTCCTACCTTGTAAAACCTAGCTTGAGGCCTTGCCTTTATTCTTGAATTTATCTTTGGAAGAAATAAACCTCCTAAATCTTTTCAGTTTGGTCCCAAGTATGTAAAATGTAACCTAGAGATTATGTTTTCAAGGCTGGATGTTGAGTTACCCGGATCCACTCTCCACGCCTTTATGCTCTGCTCAGGGGAACAGTCAGGCTCTGGCTTGGGCCCCCAGGCCGCTGAGTGAGCCCAGTCCCTGGCAGTGCTGAGTCCTGTTTCCTGCTGAGTCCAGAGCAGACGTCCTTGTTCCTCTAACATGGCTGTTCCAACGACAGCCCAGGGAAGACAGATGGAAATCGGGAAGAAAGGCACAGGGGGATGGGTCTTTCTCAGAGGGGAGAGGAGGAAAAGGCAAACCATCTGGCCACCGCTCGGTCCACAGACATCCCCACATCCTGGGGTCAGCTTTGGCTACCCCCGAAAAGACCACTGAATCTACAAGGCGCAGACACAGTGTAGCCCTCAGAGAGGGGAGTCGGGCCCATTGGGGAGCCTGAGCCTGAGCCAGAGATGGAGAGAAGAGGAAAGAGAGAGAGGGGAAAGAAGCAGGCAGGGGAAGGGGGGAGGGGAAGGGGGGAGGGAAAGGGGAATGGTTCCTGGGCGCCCATGTTCCTGCTGGAGGTGGTTTCAAGCTTCTTTGTGTCCTGACCCAGATAAGCGAAAATGGTAGCAAAATTTTATTAAACATAGGAAAAGAAAAAGGCCCTCCAGGGAAGGAAGTGCAGCATGAGGGTGGGGCCAGCACTCACGGCATGCTGGCCTCCCCTGTCACCTGCTCTTCCCTGAGGTCAGGCCCAGGCCATCTACAGAAAGGGCTCTCAAGTTCCCAGAGGCATGGAGTGCAGGTTCGGGAGAGGGCAAAAGAGGTTTCCCGGCTGTGCTGGGGGACACTGCAGTCCAGCCTCCTGAGAGGCTCTGCAGGGCCACTGTGAGACACACCCCACCCCCGTAAGCAAACCAAACCAGTTTGGAGAAAGCCCCTGAAACCAAGTCTGGATTCTGCCGCCTCTAGCATGACCGAAAGGCCAGTTCCCTCCACTGTGTCCAGGATTCTGTCTCCCAAGCCTGAAAACTGCTCAAGACCCTGTGTGGGGAGCCTCATCCTTATTTTGTGTCTTCCTGGAAGGGGAAGATTTTCAGGGTCCCACCTAGCCCAGTGACAGGGTGAGACTCCCGTGGTCCTGGGCTGTGCCGCCTGGCAACCCCCCACCCCATTTCCAGTCGGAGCCCATGCCTTTATGTGCAGGTTGGGAGGTCTGGGGGGCGGGAATCTCTGACTGCTGGAAAAGAAAGAAAAAGACCCTAGAGCTGCAGAGGAAGTGGGGAGGGAGACACTGCACCTCAGAGAAAAACCCTGAGGTTCCAGAGGACCAAGGGCATGGGGGAAATAAACTAAGAAACCACGTCACCTCTTCATGGTTGCTGAGACAAATGTCACTGGGCTGGGCCTAGGGCTCCTAAGGGAGCCTAA